AAGTCGTTTAATCACTAAGAGTAATTTACTTAAACCTATACATTCAGATCATGTTGAGCTTATTTGGATCAATCTGAGTATTTTTCGAAACCATAATTTTATATTCTTAGTCATGTTGTTGATAAATTACGCAATTTTGAGCAATTTCGCATCAAACCTAAAATGTTGACAGTATGAAATCATTTATAAATAAACCAATGGAAGAAAAAAATTTGCATAAATCTGCCCCAAGCTCAATTGTAACTTACCATTAGTGATTCCTGGTTAAGTTAAGGTGTTTTTTACAGCTAGGCAAAATAATGTATAATGGTAGGAAATTTATTACAATATTTTTGCAATTCAGATGCTTACACTAACGGGGAACTTGGCTTTACAGTGGTTGCCTTGCATCCGTCGAGGCTATATTTATGTTATCTCGTGGACGTCCGCAGGTAGCTCGTCTCAGCTATGCCCTTCTTCTCAGCGATCCTGTTCTTCTTTTCCTTCTTCACCTGAGACTTCGCTCCTTGTTAGAGTCTCCTTGGCAGACTCCTCTGTTTCTAACATACAGGGTATCTGCAGGCACTTGGTCACGGTGAGAGAGGCGCTTGCCTTTACCAAACGTCAGCAGCCTCAAAAACAAACTATTTCGCTTACCGGGTCTTCAAGGACTACTCTAAATCTTGTCGGCCGCCCCTTTTTCAAATCCTTACATCTCGCAAGCCATTCTGGGAAAAATTACAACCAAGGTTCATCGCGCATAACATTATGGCTCGCGGATGAGGAGTCTACTTCAACTTCCGACCGATATATCTTGCCCAACTTCGCTTGTGTAGATTATCGCCTGCCAAAGCATCGCTCTAATCTCATACTTTTTGATTCATTTGCCCAACAAAGTTGCGCTCCAGGCCATCCAAACGTCTGCACGATGCGGGGACTGCGGGTTGTCTACAATGTGGAATTTCTGGGGTTACCAATACGAGCGAATCAGACATCTGGCACTGCTACTGCCCATTCTCAGCCAGCTGAATTTCGCCTGACGAGTTGTCAGTATCTTGGTGGTCAAGTTTTGGAGGAAGTATTTCGGACCGATGTTTTCCCGTCGACTTCTGAAAATACTTGCTCTATCTGCAGGCGGTTATTCGGAATTCAAATTCCTTACTTGAGTTTGCCTTTTGGACAACACAATGAAGACAAGCCAGTAGATAACTCGAAAGAAGCATCAAA